CCCCAAAACCCCAAAACCCCAAAACCCCAAAACCCCAAAACCCCGGAATGAAGGTGGGAAATTGATGAGAATTTTTAAGTGGAAATCATTATGGAATGGGGCTGTGGGTGTTATTTTTGGTAAAGAACGGCTCTGCATAGAGGACATTGGTTGCTATAATACATGTACTCTTCAGCACAATCTGCGTGGAAGACATGTCCGCATGAGGAGAGTTTCATTAGAATGTCCCCTTTGGCAAATTCTTCAGCTCAGTGAACGCATTCTCTCCCTTCGCTTTTAAAATAGCAGAAAACTCCTTTTTCATTTGAACCAGTGGGAAACTTCTTACCTGTCATCACTGAATAGCATTCAAATTCAGGATCATGGACAAAAAGGGTTTGCATGTTCAATGTATCAATAATCTTAAATCCCGTATCCAGACTTTGCTCATTTTCTTCTACTTTATTCAAACCTAATTGGTTTCTGATGAATTGTTGTTTTTCGATAAGGTCTTTTGAATTGACTTTGTTATCTGGAATCTTCTCATCAAACAAGATAAAGTTTCTAATCGCAATCATTTGTTCCTTGTAGTCATCAATTATCTCAGCCTCAGTTGCATTTTCAAAATCAATTTTATCTTTATAAACAGTCTCAGATTCTTTTACTTCTTCAATCTCATAAATTGCTTCTTTCTTGGGACTTCTAGCTGGTTGTCTTTGCCTGAGTTGTCTTCTAAACATACCAATAAAGCCTTGATTTCCTGTTCTTTCGTCTATAGAATCAATCAGAAAGGTTACCAATATTTCTCTTGGAGTACATTTCCTTTGCCTTTTCTTTTAATTCAAGAACCTTCTTCATTTTCTCTTTTCTTTCTTGAGCAGCTTCAGCTCTTCTTCGACGTTCTTGTGAAGTTTCTTTCTCTTCTTCCCAATTTCTAAAGTATGAGATATCCAGAAACTTAAAGCTTACATTTCAGGGACCTTCTTCTCCTCTTCAGCAGGAACATTTTCACTCAGATTCTGCCTCATATAAGCTTCCCTTTTCGGCTTCTCAACTCTTCTAGACACTCTATGACTAACCGGGTTGTATGGCTCTTCTTCATCCAAACCCACTTCTCCAAAACGCTGTCCCATCGGAACTCTCCCATTCCTATTACTCCTAGCTCCCACTATTCCAAAATCACTCAAATTCCCCTAAAACCCCCACCTGCACCCCAACTCTTACTTCCTCCATCCTCTCTCTCACAAGGATGTTCAATAATCCCTCTCTTCTTCACATTCCTCTGCCTCATCTCCTTAACTTTTTTCCTCTGCTCCGCCTTAAGCTTATCCATTCTTTCCCTGTACTCCAAATCCCCAGTGTGCTGCTTAGTCTTATCCCTGTTCTCGTAGTCTAGATTTCTTTAGATGTGGACTTACAGTTGGGGATTTTCTCTTCCTCGTCATTGTCCGCAGGGGCTTTGAAGGGAGCGGGGATTACGTTTTTTAGTGAAGAGCTTGTCTTTACTGGTCTAGGGATGTATTTTGGATTGATAGTGTGCTTTTGAGTGGGGGTCTTGCTCTGACTGCCTCCCATGTTTAATATAGTTTTTCTATGGTGTGTAGAAATTTAGGGGTTTTGGGGTTTTGGGGTTTTGGGG